CTCTAAATCTGAGTGAGACCTTTCTCATAGGATGGGGAGTGGGTGGGTTGGGGGCATTCACTGAATGTACCCCATCCAGTGAGTGGCTTGTCTTCTGCAGCAGAGCAGCCTAATTACAGTGGGCTCTGCTTCGACGGGAATAGAACTGGCTGCCAATACTATTGATAATTCACACAGACTAAGCTGTCGCAGGGAATAGGGATGGGCAAGTGGAAATGGCTCCGTTTTATTAGTTTCTACTGCCCTTTGATGTGCAGTCAAGAGCGAGACATGCCAAGAGACTCATGCCAGATGGAAGCACTACACCCGAAAGGTGTCTCAATCCTTTTAACATAACTCTTTTTGCATGTGAAACCTAGAATGATAGCTATTAGTGTCACATAGCCAAACATTTCCCCTCAATTTATTTCACCATGCTTTATTACTGAGCTGGCCCAATACGAAGAGGCCGGCTAGAGCTAGCCAGCATTAAGAAGTATGCAAATTCTTAAACAACTTAATGGGCTGTAGTTTGATTGTCTTTAAAGGTGGAGGTGCTGCTAGAAATTTTGGGCCTCCTGATAACACCTCAACCCTCCATTGAGTGTTCCACTCTCCTAGCAGCACCTACAGGGGCGTTCTGATGGACTTAAAAGTAAGAAAAACGTAAATCAAGAAAACCCCTTTTATCACTAGCCCTGACTTGGGACTCACCTCAGGCTTCTTGACTCGGCCCTCCTGGAAGGAACATGTGCGAGGGTCGTGGGTACAGTCATGCCTGTACTTACACCAGTGGCACTGGTAAGGACTGCTCACACATGAGAGACATCTGAATGGAGAGCAGAGGAGAGGGAAGACAGTGCTTTGAATTAGTATTGAACAGCAGCAAATACACTAGAGCATAGAAGCTCAATATGCCAACTTACTTATGTATATAATACATTTCCAACAGTTTAAGAATCAATGTCAACGTTTTTTTTTCGTTAATATGAAGAAATTAGACTTATGACGAGCTATCTGCTAGAGAGAAGTGCTTTTGAAAGCTATTCATAGACTTACGACTTGTGCACACTACAGTTGTAGAAAACAAAGCTGGTATTTGCGAATGCCAGGCCTGTCTCCTTGGACTTCAGATAGAGCTGCACAATCTGGTGGTCACCTAGAGAAAATAGATCACAGTCAAGATTAATAGTTGGATACACAGTGGTAGCCAGAATGTTTTATATTCAGGTAAAAAGATGAGTAAAAGAACAAGAACTAATAGATGCAAGAATTGCTTTTGTTTCAGAATTCATTTATTGAACCCATTATTAAGAGGTTTCATTCAACTGAAGCAAATAGGAGAAACAAAAATGTATTCTAATGCTAATGGTTGGATGTCACAGCAACTTTTCCAGCATTAGCAGTGGGTAGACACTTTTAAAGAACCCCTGCCTCTATGATAATCATTTCATTCACTTGTTCACATATCCTTTTTCAGTGTCTAGTCACATTAGATTTTCCCATGAAGGAAAGATGACTGCACTGCTTTGAGCCACAGGTGCTCAGCCTGTTGCAGTGGTAAAGGCAGTATCTTAAGAGAATGGGAGAGTAGAAGGGTTTTGTTGGGTTAAGTCTCCCTATCCTTAGCCTTACAAGAGACAATAGAAGTTGGTGCACACACATTTCCCTTGGGAGGGAAAATATTCCCCTGGAAAAGTCTTTGAGAGTGTCTTTGACAAGGTAAAGGGGGATGAAGATGAAACAGGAACCGTGGTGTGTGTGTGTGTGTGTGTGTGTGTGTAACTGCGTGTGTGTACCTGCGTGTGTGTACCTGCGTGTGTGTACGCAAGCTTGCGCCTCATCTGTATTTGGTGTGTCCTTTTGTCTGGCCCTAATGAAGGAGTTCATGTTTAATTCAACAGCACATCCACACATCTAACTACTCTCTCGCTACACTACCTCTGTACCTCTCTCTCTCATCCCCACTCTATCTCTACACACAGGTCTCTTTGCTTCCTTCCACACTGTGACTCCTTCTTTTCCCCCGTGTCTCTCTCCATCTCTCTAACAAAGAAGGAATCATTCATCAATCACAGTAAAGCACCGCTGACAACGGATCTGTCCTAATTAGGCCACCTAAATGTTACCTTGAAGCCTGCTAACACTATCTATCCCTCCCTCTCTCTCTCTTGCGCTCCATCCGTCGCTCTCCCTTCTTTTCTCTCTTTCAACCAAGCTAAGACTAATGAGAACTAGTAAAAATGGAAGATGAAAGGTTCAGATATAGGCAAAAATGTGAAATATTTGCCTCCATCTGAAACAAATCCTGAAAAGGATCTAACTGTGTGCGTTTGGGGGTGCTGGAGAAAAACGAAGTGAAAAATGGGGAGAAATGCTGTATGCTTCATTTGTGTGAGTCTCAGAGTACATATTTGCACGATGGCAGCATCACCAGCTTTACATGTGGTTGACATGGCAAACATTAAACAAATGTTTTTAATTCCCCAAAGCACCCTCAGGCTCCCTGTCAGCCGTACATCTGTACACATGTGCTATCTATCTGTGGATTACTTTATTGCAGTGGTGCTGTGTGTTTGTCCATGCAGTGTATGTATGTGTGAAGCTTTTGTTCATTTGGCTGCATATTTGTACATGTGTACAGCTGAGGCCTAAAGCTCTCTTTTTCATGATGGTCTGCTCCCTTTAGCTGTCTGTACTTAAGGCTATACTTATCTAATGTTTGCTTTCTGGCTCCAATATCTACAAAACAATTCATAGATACAATTTTTACACATAGCTGTGAATACCATTTTCTTTAGAGCTCTGATACCAATAGTGGTGGGGTCTAAAAACATCAGTGAATATTCCTTTGTGTGTACATTTTAAGTATTATTGATGGATCACCATCTATTTTCTCTTTTCATTCATTATGCATCTTTTCTTCTGGTGGAAATATTGGAGGAAATGGCATCTTCATTATCTCAACTTAAGGACACAATGAGTGCTGGTGAAGGATTGCATGCCTGGGGACAGGCCTTCCCAGATGGGAGCTTTGTTCAATTAGACCAGGCTTAGCCAACCACGGAGAGGCGAGGTTAAGAACAGGGGAATTAGAGAGAGAAGAATATATTTTCCTTTCTTTGCTCGTGGAATGAATATTGTCAGAAATGTTGTCAGAGCTGTCTGCCTCTTGAAAGCAATGGAAACACTGAGACTGTCTGTGGGGACTGTAATCTCCAGGCACTAAATTAGCTGAAATACTGTAGTAAAAACACTTGGCTGTGCAGTTTGACACACTCCTTTTTTGCACTGGGGTTAACTGGGGTCTCATCACTCCCCTCTAGAGCATCTCCACTTTGAGGGAGGGTGGTAAGTAAATCCCACAACAGCCTAATAAATAATGTTCATTCAATTACTAAACATGTCCTAGGGCAGTGCTCCCAGGCCCACTGAGTTGCTGATGGCAACAAGAAAACAAAAATTCATAGAACACTCATAGCCCTAGGAGTAGCTTCTGACGGAGGGGAAAATATCCAGATGAATGCATAATTCCCTGACAGACATATACAGTATGTTTGTATTCAACAGGTGCTCTAATGTTAATAAGTAGTTGATGCTGGCAGTGGCTTGTTATATATATTTTCTGATTACAAATAATGACACTTTGACAGGTTATTAGCAGGCTTTCTCTTGCTAATCACAGCTGTTAATGTCATGTACGCAGAGACAGTTGCTGTATATGTTCACAATGCATATCAAATCAAATGCCAGCACTGTGACATCCACCACCAGCTACAATGTAAAAGTACATTTCCTTTTTAGCAAAAATTCCGCAATAAGTCCACCCTTACCTTTGTCAACAATAATGCGTGGCATCTCTTTCTCAGCGGGGGAGGAGCACTTGATTCGATTTCCCTCCACCAAGCCATTCATCTCAGCCAGGTCCTCAAAGGTGCAGTTGACACCCGCAGAAAGTTCTGGGACATTATGGGCCTCCAACACCAACTGTAGAAAGGGAAAGACAGAAAAGTGTGTGTGAAAAGATGTCAGCATTCTGTGCAATAATACACTAAATATTCACTATTATCAGAAATATAATACAAGAATAATGAAAAGAACACATGAAAGTGATCAGTAGCTCTGATACTCTGAAATAAAAGAAAGTTAGGGAGAATTCAGTTAAGCTTAAATGGCTTCACATTCATAATAGCACATGACACAGCAAAAAATATTCATCAGTTTAATTCTATTGATGAAGCATGACAAAGTGCCTTTTATAATTGCGACCATGGTCAGATAAAGAAGTTAGATCCGTGTCCCAACTGTTATGACTACAGTGCTCAAACTCCCACATCTGTGAGCACTTCAGATGTGTTTTGGAGCCAATATGTTCTTCAAATATGATTGTAACACAATATTGCTGACGAGAAGCACAGCTGCAAGTTCTGCCCAGAATAAAGATCCATCTGTAGGGTGGTCAGTGGCCAGAGGAGCCACAGGGGGACTGTTGAATGAGAGATTCAGTGATCAGATGCATCTTGCCCAGACGTCCAAAGAACATTAAAACACACTGATGCAGAAAGGCACAGATTGACTTAAAACTGAAATCCGTGCCATCTTAATAGCCCATATCTGATGGCCACAAGGCTTCCTAGGCACCTCCCATAATGCCTTGTGTCATCGATGAGCTGTATAGATTCATCATTCTATTTTATGTGCTGACTCTTTGGCTCAGCAAGTTTTTAAAAAGGAAAGTGAAAGAAATGGTAAAAGCAGAAACTCAAGTTGAGTGGAAGGATGAGGAGTTAGAAGAGATGGAACAGGCAATTGAATGTAGATGGCTGAAACAAAGTGCAGGATGAAAAGAGACTATTGACAAGAGGAGGACAGAAATAGCAGAAAGACTAAGGGTAAAGAATGACACAGTGAAGAATGGAGGAGAGGAGAAAAGTGCAGGCATACAGGCTTCTGGACAGGGAAAAAAGGACTCTGGGAAATAGAGAATGCAAATCTTCCCTCTTCATTTGAAAAAGCTGTGTAAGCTCTCTCTGCACCTCAGCAAAAACTGGTTCCAGGTGGTGCAGGAGGAAAAAGAAGAGAAAAAAACAAAACACTGTCCTTGAATAAGAAAGGAAAAAAAGAGGGTCGTGGAGGCAGGTGGAGTGGGGTCAAGACCAAAATATACATATTGATGGAAAAGCATGTCTGCAGCAGGCCTTGGTCTAGGCATTGATTTGAGGTGCAGTCCATAGTACACTTGTGATGTGGTGCTGAAAGCTGCCTCAGCAGCAGAGTAGGGCTGACCTGCGCTGTTTTTATATTGCTGTTTAATGAAAAGACGGCGGCGCGGGTGTGAACAGATACACAGCTTCCCACATAAGATGGACAGTGCACGACCGGGCTTCTATCTCTTACATATCCTCTCTCTCATTCGTTGCTCACTCTACCTCTCACCTTTTTCTTCTCTCGCTTTAATTTATTTTTCCTTTTAAAGGAGGGAATACAGCCAGACATTGAGTTTCCTCAATTACATTTAGAATAGCCACGACCAAGTCTAGCCACAGCAGGGCTGCATAAATATGAAAATAACCGACTCATCTTAACAGAAACATACGCGCACACAGGCATACACAAATGCCCTCCTGTGGTTTACAAAACACCATATCTAATGCAGAAGATATGTGATGATGGGCTGTTCATGTTGCCATGGTGAAAAAAAGTCTTGGCTGCAAACATTTGGTGAGAATTTATTCAAAAGCTAATGCCAGAAAAAATACAGAGGAGAAAAACATGTTATGACATTACTTTTTATCTACTTACATTCTCTATTTTAAAGCTTAATGTCACTGCTGATGTTGTACTCTTACTTAACTTTAAGCATAATGATTGTATAATATGTGAAAAAATGATTAACAAATGAACATAGAATTAAATGTAAAAGAAAACAATATATTTTTTCTTAGAATGGCTCTAATTTCAGCAGTGGAGGGTCTCTGTTGCTTTTGAGAATGCCTTGGCTTATCTTTCCAAACAAATATTTAATAACACAAAGGTCAAGGAGGAGCACCTGTCTGTCTGGCACAAGCCTCTGCCCTGCAATCAGTTGGATGGGAGATGTGTGGCATAGCCTTTGGGTAAAGCCTGCTCGCTGGGAAAAGGTTAAACACTCTCTAAAGGCTCACAAACACACACACACACACCACACACACCCACACACACCACACACACCCACACACCCACACACACCCCATGAATATCATTAGAGTGATGCAGAGGTGTACCTCAGAAAATCAACACCTCTCATGTGACCCTCAGAGCAAACACGGATGTAGAATAGTCATTCAGACGTGACCTTAGAAAATCATATTGGATGTTTATGCACTTGGTCTCTGAGATACAAAGCCATTTCCAAACCACCATTAGACAGGAAATGGGAATTGAAATGTGACATCACTTAAAGTGGTTAAAGAGATTTTTATAACATTCATTGTTCCAACCTTTAAAATAGGATATCTTTCAGCACACTGAGTTTTGATAAAGAAACAGTAACCCTTGGAAGACATAAAACAGAATGATGTGTTAAGGCAATATCAATCTTCTGAGCATGCCATAAAATTACACAGCTTTGGGTGTAGACACACACCTAAATGGTCACTTAAAGACATTAGAAGCCAAGCCTTGTTCCTGTCCCAGTGAGAAATAATTGTCAAATCAGAATGGGCCTTTGGTGGGGGGGATCGAAGTCTGGAGCAGTACAAGGGGTTAAAATGAGAAAACAGCCACAGGTCTCTATTTCATTGATTTCACCCAAAGGCAACACAATCCTTATCAGCTAAAAAAGCATAGTCATTATAATGTAACACACTCTCTTAACAGATTTGAGTGCAAACTCAGAATCAAAACAACTACCCAACAAGTATTTGTATTTCTCCAATTCCTGCAGAGACATACTTTTGTTGCAATGTATCACAGCTCCTTGCACACCAGTCAATACACTTAAACATTCAAAAACCATTCAGACCCTTGAAATGTGGCAGCTGTTTTAGAACAAAATGTCCAGGGGAAAAAGTGCTGCATTTAGTTGCCAACAATCACAATAAACACAGCTGAAGCTAAACTGTGTGCTGTTAATGATTGTTGACATTTGTTGGGAGAGTATTTCAACTGGACGGGACTGAAAGTTGTAAGTTGTCAGGGTCAGGATTTGAAGGATGCATGTTGGCAGGCAGTAAAATGATGTAAAGCAGGATTATAGAGTTAACACTGGCTACTAATCAGTATCTAGAGCATAATTACATCGCATTACAAATTATGCTTGAGTGTGTGATACTGTCAATCTGCCAGACAAGATTTTCTCACCAGAAACACATTCAGCTAGCCTCACTGCTTACTGCAATATGGCTCCACTAAAACAAATGCTTGCTGAAGTGTTTCTTCCTTATTAAACAAAAAATATGTTGAAGCACTTCTAATTAAAATATGACCACATTTTATTACGATATGCCAGTAGTGTGTTTCCACTCACCGTGACACTAAACTGGGACACTGAGATGTTGTTTGGGTGGACACTGAGACGCACACACTGCTTGATGTCTGATGCAAAGCGACGGGGCTCTGATGAGCGCTCGCATTTCTCCTTTCTGGTGCACCTGGAAAAAAAAAATAAAAAAAACAGAGAGGGGGTGTTATTCATGGTTGATAAATGCACATACACACACACACA